CTAACTATCATGTTTTAATGAAAAAATCCTAACAAAGAATCGTGATATATCATTCATATTTATTTAGGAAGTACATAAGGGTTATCGTTCCATAAAGTGCCCAAGTATTTGTAAACACTATAGTCTCTAGTGACAACAGAAACAGCTAAGAATTCAGCAAAGATGAATCCGGGTTATTCATAAAATATCAATGATTTAGGACGTAAGCAAGATCTTAGTTACATATCAAATTCATTATTACGAAATCAAATAAAATGCAAATGATCAAATTAGCATTCTGATTGTATCTTTCCTACTTCACAGATCCCTCAGTTATTACTCTGGTATTTTATTATTATACAAATTAACAACACGTCATTTTACAACAAGCCTGATGATGTATATGTATTTGACTGTAAAATGTCAAAACGCATCAATTATTATGGGTGTTATCATTCAGCATTTAAAGCAATAGTTCTATCGCATGTAACAAAGTTCTAAGTATATTTAAACAGCAACAACATTATGCATAAATTGATAGACAAACTGGTATCTCGGCCATTAATTACACGTACCTTCAAAAGTCAGCAACTGTAGTGAAACTAATCACCTACAATAGGGAAATGTAGTTGTTGTAATATCTTTGTCGATACTGCCACATGTTGTGTTATATTCACATACTAAGAAAGATAACTCTAGTAATTGTTTATCAACCTATTGTACAACAAAAGGTCCCGAGTTTTTTCTGATGGCATTGAGTTGAGAATATGATTTGGCTTGCTGTATTGGGTTCACAATTATGATTCTATTCGATGTTGATGTCGTTTAAAAGCGTTGACAGGTTTTGCCATAACATTATGTATGTACATTGTGTAATATTATCCTGCATTCGAAAGGACTTCTATAACACATTCTATCTAATCGAAGGTATCAACATTAAGGGTATTGGGTGTATATGCAGGATAATATTACTTTTATTATTATTGCTGAATGATCACACTTTAATGTGTGGTGTAGTTTAGTTTATACAATCAAACTAAACTGCACCATACATTAAAGTTTAAAACCTTAGCAGCGACTGAAGAACACCAAATACCCTTAATGTTGATAACTTCGATTAGATACTACTCTGTCTCACTCAGTAAATTTGTAATGAAGATGAGCTGTTGTGTGTCTATTTTACGGTGTTCGAGACAGCAGACACTGCTGGTGGACTTACAATCCCCGCTGTTTGCTGTAACCAATAACGACACGGTTCAGCACGTGTACACGCAATTATCGTTCTTATAGAATTATCAGATATATAAAAATTACAAAATGTCTAGAACAATGCGGCTAATACATCTCCCCATTTAGAGTTTGATATTTCTTTTGAACACTTTGGATTTTCCTCAGTAGCTTCGGAGGTTTCAAAATGTAGGCACTTATCATCGCTGGGCGAGACATATGTATGCTTCAGTTTACTTCATTATTTGACTCTACTGTATTTGATTCCTAATTGGCACTAAAACGCGCTATTCATTCTTGTGGGGTTTTTGTTTTTGTTTTTGTTTTTTTTTTTTACAATATTCAAAACCCGAAGCAAACATCTCAGAAGAAGAAAACACACAAACACGTGGTACACAAATTTACATAACGTTTTAATCCGTTGTCATATTTATTATATATCAGAATATAAAAAAAAATTATACAAAATGTGTTGACCCATCCGTTGTGTACACAACAATCATCTATAACAGTCAGTGCGCTGCATATATATACAGGACGTCACAGGAATGCCTATAGTCTTTTAGGAAACAAAGTTCCCAGGATTTAAATAAACCAAAGGTCACAATAACACCAGTTGTAAGTTTACCACATTCATTAAACTAACATCGGGAAAAAATCCTGAATTCCAAATCTTAATTAGGACTGTTTACTTTTCTTACCACTGTCTTCTTACGTATGGTAAAATGTGTGAATTTAAAAGTTGTGTTATTTAACGAGTATTGTATTGTTGACTGGGATTTAATGCAAGGTCAGAGAGGCTTTCAAAAATCACAGCAAATGAACATAATTTGTTGTCAAAGTCAAACTTAATGATATAAGGAAGACGAACAAAATAAAGTTTGTAAAAGAAAACCCGCAATTATTTTACCTCACTGACTCTACATGAAACGTAAACCACTTAATAAACACGGGGAGATGTCCCGCATCCCCGGTAACCTTGGAGATACACTATAGGAATCACGTCTTTTTTAAGATTTGTGTCTTGTTTTAGTAAAACATACTAAATTACTCCATACAAAATAATGATAAAAACATGTTCACGTTTTCTAATGGTTGAAATAAATAAGAATTTAAGTAAATCCATTTAATGTGATATCACTACATGAAGTTTTAGACAATATACACACATGTACGGCATTTATGTTAATTACATAATTAGAGAAAAATGAGCATAATATTTCACATAAATTAACGACTGTAAAATAGTACCAGTAGATGCCTCGACAAGTACAAGCTACAGCGTTATGGCTAAAAAAACATGAATCCGCGATTCTCACAAAATGGCGACATCATGGCAGTTTGTTTGATGAAGTCTAAGGAGTACAATTTGTAGAAGAATCTATAATTTCTACTTAAGTTTGTCAAAGAAATTTGTCTGCTTAGAGAAATATTCTCATATACTCTACCAGAGTTGTCGTTCCTTAACTGTTACAGTGAACCTCTGTAAACGGCTTATGGTCTACTAATAGTTGACCTCGCGGTGAGGGTCAAAGTTTGCGGTGAAGCAAAAATATGTCGGCTTCCCTGGCAACACCAACAAAATAAACACATGTAGACTGTTTTGTATGTAGTGTTAACAATAACATTCGCGCTTTTGGAGAGGAAATGTGTCAATCGTGTAGCAAAATCATCACCAATTAACACTGATGTCAAATCACATTTCTCGAGAAAACGTCGGTAGTTGAAAAGTAAAAGTACAAATTGTAAAGACTACGGATATTGTCTGTTCATTCACCTTTAATCCTGCGTTATAATCCGTATCGTTTAAAGCTATTGTCATTTTCCAGATGTAAAAACATCTATTTTGAAAATACTGATACAAATAACAAAAAAGAAAAAAAAATAATGAAATAAGTTTTTTTCAAGAATCTTGAAATGACGTCATGCAGTGTACTGAAATGCACTCTGGGAGAGACTGGTAAAATGGGCAGGAAATCGGCCGAGATATCGTACACTGTGAAGTAAACTTGAACATATCTAAAGGACATAAAACTTAAGAAATTAATGGAAATAACGGCATCTACGATAAGATCACTATGGAGTAAGTATTTGAAAAAAAACATTGGAAAACAAATGAAGTAATGACAAACCTTGTAAGTTGTCTTATGGTGTTAGCACTCCTTGTAAAGTTGATACTAATATAAATGCACAATTGACAGCGGTGTGTGGCCAAGTTATTGTCCGACATCTTGCCACTAGAGTATTCCGGTTCCAGGACGACACTGTCCCCGTACATCTGGTTTATGTTCACAATGAATGGAAACAGTAAAACATTATTCTGACCATAATCTGGTTTGCACAGTCTCCCGACATCAAAATAATCGAAAAATTGTTGCTTAGAATTAAAATAAGAAAACAACGCCCGGAACATCGAATCCCCTAATCAGTCATTTCAGGTCATTTCGGGACATTCTTGAATACACGAGATCATTGAATACCTAAATGACCCACCGTTTGCTTGCTTAACCTTTCGATACCCCACTCGGATTAAGCCCGTCAGATTGGAAAATCACGAATTTTTTTGTTGTACACCTTGCCTTCAATACAACTCATACCATTTCATTTTATTAGCCGACGTTTCCCTTATTTTGCTGCTAAACTAGCCTTGACAAAGACAATAGAAACACCTTTTCTAGATGAAACTGTATCATCATCAGATAAAAAAAGTAGTATCGGTTCCAATATTATGAGATCTCTAGAACAACTAGAAATAGCTGTCACATATTTTACTGTAACTGGGAATGCTGCTGTATGCTCTGATCTATCACATATTTTACTGTAACTGGGAACGCTGCTGTATGCTCTGATCTATCACATATTTTACTGTAACTGGGAATGCTGCTGTATGCTCTGATCTATCACATATTTTACTGTAACTGGGAATGCTGCTGTATGCTCTGATCTGTCACATATTTTACTGTAACTGGGAATGCTGCTGTATGCTCTGATCTGTCACATATTTTACTGTAACTGGGAATGCTGCTGTATGCTCTGATCTATCACTTATTTTACTGTAACTGGGAACGCTGCTGTATGCTCTGATCTATCACATATTTTACTGTAACTGGGAATGCTGCTGTATGCTCTGATCTATCACATATTTTACTGTAACTGGGAATGCTGCTGTATGCTCTGATCTGTCACATATTTTACTGTAACTAGGAACGCTGCTGTATGCTCAGATATATCACATATTTTACTGTCACTGGGAACGCTACCGTATGCTCAGATCTATCACATATTTTACTGTAACTGGGAACGCTACCGTATGCTCTGATCTATCACGTATTTTACTGTTACTAGGAACGCTACCGTATGCTTTGATCCATCACGTATTTTACTGTAAATGGGAACGCTACCGTATGCTCAGATCTATCACATCTTTTACTGTAACTGGGAACGCTACTGTATGCTCAGTACTCTACATTACGACCAGTACCACTATCTGAGTTTTTGCTGTAATTCTGGGCTTTGCAGCGAGGTCAGCACGGTTATCTGTGTTTTCACTGTAATTATTCATTCTACATTACGACCAGTACCGCTATCTGTGTTTTTACTGTAATTCTGGACTCTACATTACGACCAGTACCGCTGTCTGTGTTTTTGTTGTAATTCTGGGCTCTGCAGTGCGGTCAGTACGATTACCTATGTTTTCACTGTCATTTTGGACCCTACAGTATAGTGTGTGTACAGTTATCATCTTTTGTTTGATTTTGGACTCTACGGTATTTACAGTACTTTTATTTGAGATTTTACTGTAAATCTGGACTGTCTATTACAGGTGCTACAGTGTTTCCACCCATTAGCTGGTCGGCTAGTAACATTCCACCTATAAAAGCTAGAACGGCGACCAACGCCACAACGATGGAAATAATGACAGCAATAACAGACATCTCCAATCGAAAACTTTCCCCGCTACCAACCTGGCGTCTGGAATTCACCCACGTGCCGATATCTTCATCCACGAAACCATCTCCATCATCATCACGTCTGTTTCTGATTTCCTCGTCCACCAAGCCATCACAGTCGTTGTCATTTCCATCTGCTGAAACTGTTCTTTTACCGGAAATGACGCATGACTCATATACATTTGTTAGTCGCATTCCTAGTGAATATAAACGAACAGATTCATTACGCAAAATTTCCACGATACCGCAAACCGACGGGAAAAGTGATATGCGACGTTGAGGTATTATTTCAAAGTTTTCATAATTTTCAAGATTTGCATAAAGGTATACATCATCATGAGTCAAATTTTTAAACAGTGTTTCCATCGTCATGTTTTTAAAATTGATAAGAAAATTGTATCCGAATGTGCCCCAAACGGATAGTGTTGTCTTACGGTTGTCCTTGTCGTTGAACCGATATCTTGGTAAACACTGGGACACTGATGGAAGAGACATATAAACAAATCTATCGAGTTCATAGCTATTCACAGCCTCCATTAGCACCATCGGTAACACGGATGAATTAGGAGATATTATATGTATGTATTCATCCGCGGCAACCTTCAAAGTGTAGGGAAATGATGAAATGGATACGAAACTATCGGTCATGCTGTTGGTATTAATGAATAGATCCCCAGTGTCGTTTTTACCTGTAACAAACAACAAAATGATAGCTGTAGTGTGCCTTCACATGAACTTTGTAAAGCAGAGGTGATGCACCATAAACACAAATAGTAAAATTGCATAAACTTACGCCCCTCTATATGTCTTACAGACATCAACAGCAATCATAAAGCAAACAGGATATATAATTCAGAGGAAATCTTGTCGAAGTAGACCGCAATGCCTTGGTATTGCAATGCTTGAGGTGAAACATTATCATGAATCGGGCCTTTCCATTAGTTATCTTTCCCCTGTATGATAAAGACAGGCAATCCAAGACCGAAGATAATATTTGTAGATTTTCGTGGGGTTCAAAGTCAAGAAACGGTATCATGACGACCTGAATTCCTCCGTTGATACCACACACGAATAATTAATGCCAAGTTGTTAACCGCATTATTACCATAAAAGGCCTGAAATTTTAATGATAGTAAACTCGATTAGAAAAATCAATTTTGAGTCAATCCGATTTCTAAGTGGAGGTACTTGTTCATAATAATGAGGTTTTATTTTCACTCAACATCTTACAATACGTTTACTGTTTAAATAATGAATTTATTGGACGGGAGCTGTTTGTTAAAAAAATCGAAGATTATCAATATTTGATCAGATACATACCTACAATGTATATGGTCGCTGTGATATTAACTAGTGTTGGTATTGGTAACAGAAACTGCCGCCCCCACGTGTTTGTCGGCGAAAGTTGCTCTACAATAATAGCCTGAAGACTTGATTGTTTTAGTAAGGCGCCAGCAACAACCATAAACGCATTGGGTGAAATAATTTCTACACCAGACAGGTTACAAGTACATTTGATATAAACTGCTTCAAACTCGTGTACAGTAATCATCATCTTGTATTTGGAATCAAACTTGGCCCAGCTGCTGTCGTCGAAGATGAATTCCCCAGATGTAGGTGCTTCTGTTATGATGGTAACATTGGTTGCATTGCGTATTGGGTATATGATAGTAAAACACTGCCATTTCATCCGATCAGACGGTACCACAACGGTGTACATGTTCCCGGCAATGTCTATTGGGTGAACTAGGTAATTATCATTTTCGTATTCCACGTACACTGTTATCTCACAACTCGATCGGATCTGGCCACCTGTGGTAAATGGTAATTATTTCAATTTATAACATCGAATATAACAATGTGAATACTTGAAATTAAAATGTTTTCATTGAATTCCAACACATATTTTTATGAGCATCTTAAATTAGGACTTAAGTTTACATTTCAACATTTAAAAAATCAGAAAAGAGAAATAGCCTTTTGAAATACAAGACTACACAGAAACGGGTTACTTGTGTGTAACGGTAAGATTTTTTAGTATTTACCAATTTCGCCGAGACTGTTCCATTTCGGGTTCACACAATCTACAACGAGTCTGCGAGATAGTCCTTTACGGAGTCGAATGCGTGTGACGTTGAAGGGCGTGGCCACTATTACGGAACATGATCGGGATGTCTGAGGAACAAGGAACAGTGTAGGTCTGATGTTGTCCAAACACAGAGGAGTCATATAGAAGAATCGTTTTCCGTTAGTGTCAGGAATGGCTGAAACATTTGTTTGTTAAGTTGATATCTTAATTTAGCTTGAATATATTTTGAAATTGCAGAGAATTTAGCCTGATACCATAAATGACGCTGTGGTGTAGAATTTCGTTTTGTTTGCCAATAGCTGGCCTGTTATCACTGATAATTATTACACATGTAATAGCACCTAGAGGGTCTGTGATTGGTTGGAGATTTCTATTTTTTCCATCGTAACATCATAACTTAATGACGTGATATGCATTGTGACACCATAATCCGATGACATGATATGCATTGTGACGTCATAACATTATGATATGACATGGCATCATAATGAAAATGATGTACTATGAGAACAACACAGATTTCGATTAAGTATCAACTTACAAATTGTTGGTTTCACGAAAGCTTGTAAAATATTCATGTGATAAACAGAAAGAAGTTTACACTTCATATAAAAACCAAAATCCATGTGACGTTGTTTATAGCACTTACGATGTAAAAGTTCTTGTTAAGACCGCGCTTACAATTCCATGGGTTATATGAAATGTTTTCTCTAATTTTCGGATACACTATTTTTATCGTACTGAGTAATGCCGTACACCCCTATCTGATAACTATTTGGCACGCTAGAATCTGCGTCTCTTCACACTTACTTCATGAAATATTATACATTTATGCTAAAACATCAACTGTATATTTGCAAAAGCCACACCAAGGAATATCATCTTCCATCTACCAATTAATGAAATTAACTGCATGATACTACTGTTTTGATCTTCCGGGACTCACCAGTGATGCTAGGGGCATACATTTTGAAACTGAGAAGGCGACCGAGAAAAGAATCGATACTGTTCGAGAGACCAATGTCAAAATCTACATTTGGAGGTAACAATTTCTCAATTCAATAAATATGAATAACACATTGAAATACCGGTTTTCATGACAGGAATAATGTTCTGTGTGAAATTAAAATTTACTCTTTTGAGTATTATTTAACTTACCCTGTTCTGATCTGAAACATACCACTAACCGGAAAAGTGAGTAGAATACTGCAAAACAGAAACGGACAATGAACAACTGTTACAAGGAACCAGCATAAGGCTTCTGCATGATAACAATCGTTGGGTTTATTGCACCAATCCTGATGAATATATGGTTGTTAAATTTTGATAATTTCTATATATAATCTACAAAGTACATGAACTAAGCCAATCCAGATAACATGTATTGACTGAGACAAGAAAGCATCTCGCTTGTAAATAAAACTTAATACAACATTAAAAAGCTCACCCCAGCAGAAAAAAGGCCTTCTCAGTAACAGTAGCCACGTCCTATAACTTTACATTACATTATTACTCAATCTTGGAACTCAAGACATAGACTGAATGGCGGAGTATGGTCCCATATCCCTTAGCCTGTGGCTGTTTCGATCCATATCGTCTTAGCTGCTTTTTTGGTGTTTTGTTGTTAAATTATCTATTTGTATTTCAATGAGATAAAGATCAATAACTGAAGTAGTTGATATGTATGCCCTGTGACGACTTTAAAACAATTATCAAATTATCATTATGTAGAAAATCGTTTTCTGTCCTTATTCTTACTGTCTATATCGCTGGTATATCTCATGCTGTTATGCGTGACTCGTGTCCAATGTGATTTGGTCTAATAGCAAAAACATGCAACCAGGCTGCACATATGGAGCACAACCCACAAGATATATAGTAAAGCTGCCAATTGATTAATGAATTGGATGATAGCACGTTATCTTGTGGAAATAATCCATATATGTAGAGTGCTGTGTTTATCGCTGATAGTAGTGTAGTTCAACTATCTAGTAAAACATACTGATAGAACAGTGAAAATGTCAACTGTACTGAATCTTGTGACGGAATTTCAATAGTATTTTACTATATGTATACAAATTGTGACGTTCTATCGTACATGTATCATTTTAATTGCATTAATCATTTGACACATCGCCCATCTCGATGTTTTGTCGACTTTGTAAGTCTATATCATCTAGTCCTTTTTAATAGAAGATCATTTCCTACAATGTATGTTTTAATTGATTATAAATTTGATTGTCAATGAGCTGTACATTTGTTTCTATCAATTGGAGGGTGGGGGATATATTGGTAATAAAACATATAAAACATATATACCTACCGACGACGCTGACAGGTACCCGTGTGTTCATGTTGGTCTCCCTGTGTCTTTGTCATCGCAGGCAACATTATCTATATCAATGAAAAAGACGTCAAACTCCGACTGAAGTCAACTCAGGAACGAAAGAAAGAAAGAAGGAAATAAATAAATAGATTAATCCATAAGAAATTAAATAGACTGAAAAAAGGGAGAGAGAGAGCGAGAGAGGGAGAGCGAGAGAGAGAGAGAGAGAGAGAGAGAGAGAGAGAGAGAGAGAGAGAGAGAGAGAGAGAGAGAGAGAGAGAGAGAGAGAGAGAAAGAGAGAGAGAGAGAGAGAGAGACGAAATGAAATAAACAGGCAAATAGATTGATGAACAAATAACTAAATGATAAAGAAAGAAATACAAAATAAATAAATAAAGAAAGAAAATGAATATATATAAGTATGTTGAACATTCCCTTATGATTATTATATCAGTATTATAACAAAATCTGAAAGCAGTTAACAAGCATATGTATTAACGGAAATTCATACTGTTATGAACACCTAATAATGAGTTATAACCATTATGAAATAGTAATAAGATTTGTTATGATATATAATAAAACTGCAACATATTGTAGAAATAATAGCATAAAGAGAGCGTTGTATTTAAAATCACATAAAATCATGCCATTGACACCATATAATGACAGGCAGTGAAAGAAATAGTTTTACTAAACCAGGCAAATATTGAGGCATTTTTTTATTGAATCTTTATTAACGTGTGTATTTAATTTATATGATACATCCATGACAGAGTATCTGAGATCTAAAGACTAAGACGAACAGTTTAACACTACAGAAACTAGTCAACTGATGTGTGGTGCTGTGAACTGTCATCACACTACCTAAAAATGAAAAGAGATTAATTCACAAACCAATAACCTACACCTACCACGAACAATAACACTGAAACTTTACAAGTACATCGAATTTCTTTCTCATTTGAGGAAATCATAGACTACAAATCAGATTTCACTATTTCACAATGAGCACTTACCTTAAAGCCATTAAAGTGTCTATCTTTGGAACAGTGGATGTTTTCCAAATGACCTCGTCCGACCCAGTGCATTTATCTTTGGACAGGTTATGATATGATTGGAGGAGTATATCAATGAGTGTGCAGTTACCATGGAAACAAATCCAATCCCGATAATTAGTCGAGCCATCTACACGTAATGCGTCACCTGTGTATCGATCTGAATGTCGACGCGAAGTTGGCCTGCAGAAGTGATATACAGTGCAGTGTATATACCTCAATAATGTAACCAGCTATTGAAACGTTTTTAAGAAAAAATAAAATTGGAAAAAATAGATATGCTTAAGGAAAAAGAAAAAGAAAATTGAAAAAGACATGATAAATATGTTTCCAAACTGTATATATGTAACCTCTTTTAATAGCTTAATGGAAGAATGCTATACCAGGAAATTCTATATATATCACAGCTGTGTCATAAAATCAACGGAAAACACGAATAATGTATATAACATTTCATATACTAAATTAATTTTGCTATAAATATTTCACGTTAAAAATAACAAGGAAAATTATGCCGCGTCAACAGAATCTCAATTCATATCATGTGACGTTAGGGTAGAATATCAATTAAAGTAAGATATATATATGGAAATTCGGTGAAGTTAGGGTAAAATATCAACAAAGTAAGATATACACGGAAATTCGGTGAAGTTAGGGTAAAATATCGACAAAGTAAGATATACACGGAAATTCGGTGAAGTTAGGGTAGGATATGAACAAAAGTAATATATACACGGAAATTCGGTGAAGTTAGGGTAGAATATGAACAAAAGTAATATATACACGGAAATCCGGTGAAGCTAGGGTAAAATATCGACAAAGTAAGATATTAGGGTAGAATATCAACAAAGTAATATATACACGGAAATTCGGTGAAGTTAGGGTAAAATATCAACAAAGTAATATATACACGGAAATTCGGTGAAGTTTGGGTAGAATATCAACAAAGAAAGATATACACGGAAATTCGGTGAAGCTAGGGTAAAATATCAACAAAGTAATATGTACCTGGAAATTCGGTGAAGGTAGGGTAAAATATCAACAAAGTAATATGTACCTGGAAATTCGGTGAAGTTAGGGTAGAATATCAACAAAGTAAGATGTACACGGAAATTCGGTGAAGTTAGGGTAAAATATCAACAAAGTAAGATATACACGGAAATTCGGTGAAGTTAGGGTAGAATATCAACAAAGTAATATATACACGGAAATTCGGTGAAGTTAGGGTAGAATATCAACAAAGTAAGATGTACACGGAAATTCGGTGAAGTTAGGGTAAAATATCAACAAAGTAAGATATACACGGAAATTCGGTGAAGGTAGGGTAAAATATCAACAAAGTAATATGTACCTGGAAATTCGGTGAAGGTAGGGTAAAATATCAACAAAGTAATATGTACCTGGAAATTCGGTGAAGTTAGGGTAAAATATCAACAAAGAAAGATATACACGGAAATTCGGTGAAGTTAGGGTAGAATATGAACAAAGTAAGATATACACGGAAATTCGGTGAAGTTAGGGTAGCATGTTTATAGGCCTGTTCCCAGTAACATGATTTTCGAGCAAGAAGTAGTCAACTGATCAATAAACACAAAATGTTTGGAAATGTTTTATGATCTCATTGAGAATTATTCTATATTTTTGTGCAATATGAAGCTGGACGTGTTTGGTACTCGTGAATTGGTCAGATGGTTTATTGTACACATTGCTCTAATTTAGAACGTGACATAACTTACTTGAATTTACCAAGGTTTAC